TGATTGTTGAAGAGTCCTTGCCATTTTGGCTATTCTTCTATCCATTCCAATGGTAGTTTTTCGCTTTCTTCCACGTCTTTCAGGTTTTGGTTGCCATTTTAAAGCATTTGCGATCATTTTAGCTGAGCAGCCTATAATTTTCTGCACTATATGTTTTTCCCTCTCCAATCAACTTTTTAATCAAGGTACGCCATTCTTCTGAACAATGTCTGGAACGACCCATTTTCCTCAGAATTTCAGAGAGAAATGCACTGTAACCAGCATGTACAACATTTGCTGCCTTCCTTCCTTAAATAAGGGCAATAATTGCCACCTGTTTTTCAAAGAATGAATGACCTCACTAATAGAACTCCACACTGCTATTATTGTGAACACGCCCCTTTCAATTAGTGATTCAATGACACAGAATCAGCAGCATGCATGTCATGACTGTTGGGTCTGTTGGATTTCTATTACTCTACTACACCTGCTAGTAAATTATTTGCCATGTAGAAATATCATTTCTACCAAAAACAGTGATTAATCCGGTTAGTGATGTCTGACTGATATTATTTTCAACACTACTGTATACAGTATATATATTGTACATTCGCATCAGACCCTAACCCTCAAGGAGCAAACAATCTAAGGTCCCTAACTCACATTTGGGCCAATTTTTTAGACAGGAGACAATTAGCTTACCAGCATGCCTTTGGAGTGTGGAAGGAAACCCATGCAGCCACAGGGAGAACATGCAAACTTCAGGCAGGTGATGCCATGGTGTGGATTGTGCTGCCCCCATCGCCCCAAACTGCTACCATCTGGTAGGAGTATTGCCTCCCTTACTACCAGTTACAAAACTGTTTTTCCCCTAGTTAGTAGGACTTTTAAAGGCTAAGTTGACCTTTTTGAGAAAATAGCCTATGCAGGCAAGAGGCCCTCGTAGATATTAAAAAAATGTGCATCGCGGTAAAATGTTCATTCATCTTTTGTTAAACCTGTAGACCATTATGGCCCCCTTGAATGCCTGGACAAAAAATTCCCAAGCTCCCCAGTAGATGTTAAAAAAACTGTGCAGCTTTGTAAAACATTCATAAATGTTAATGTAATACCTATGGGCTATTTGATTTCCCCCCCCTCCAACAGAAACAAACTCCCAGTTGGCAGCCCCCGCAACTTGTTTTGTTGCTAGGATGTAAAAACAATTGGTGCTCACTCCTAGCAACCAAACCAATGGTTTCCACATCCCAGCAAACAAACAGCATGTGGGAGTTGCTAACTGGGAGATTTTTGGTCAGCCTGGGGGGGGGGGGGGGTGCAAATCAAATGACCTACTGGTATGGTGATAACATTTAGGAACATTTACAAAGTTGCACAGTTTTTTTTATATAATTACTGGGGCCCTATGACTTTAACCGATTAATAACGCCATAACATAGGATGGCATGGTGTGTGTAGTACAGGACACCATGACCTTATTATGAGTTATAGAGGGAGTTACAATTGACTTTGAGAATTAGAAAATGTGGAAAATACCAAAATAACACCTATCCAAATGACCTCGTCCTCTAAGCAGTCCCAGAAGAAGGTTCTGGGTGCCTACCCTCTAGTGCATCCTTGCTTCTTCCACTGAAATCACAAGAACGAAGGACCACACATCAATGACATCACTGTAGTTAAAGCAACTTCATCGCAGATCCGACAACCCCAAGGCAACTACCGTACGTCAGAGAGACTAACAAACGAAGGTGAAAAGGTTTGACAGAATTACCTTCACAAAAAAGACGAGAGTGGTTAGATAACCACCCCATAATGCAAGCGCAATACCAGGTAAAACAGTAGGATAAGTAGACCTGTCCAAAAGGGCATCCAGCAGTGTCAATAGAACCTCTGACCTGCACTGATCCAGCAAAGATTCACAGCCATTGAGCAAGAAACAGGAACTTTTGTCAAAGAGCTAAAAACAATTACCCATTTAAGAACAGTAGTAGGGAAATATATTTTCATGAACTTTCTCTAGTCAGCCACCAAAAAAGCCTTGAGTCTAAATAATCCTATCTCATGAAGATCCCACAGGGAGCATCTGCATTATGGTGTCCATGTGAACTGTCTACTGACAAAGAAACAGTCCTCCAGGGATGGTTTCTACCTGCACAAAAGTGATGTTCAATGGAGTCCAGGTCAAGGGACCTACTCATAGTGGGATCCACCAAGAAACAGGCACTGACTGTTCCAGGGAACAGAATTGGATTTCTGGACATGAGGACAGCCGTGAGACAAGAGTTTTCCCATGAAGGAGGGAAGAACCACCATATAGACCAAAAGAGAATGAGGCTTAAAATTAGGACCTCTAGATCCAGAGGGATCATTTGCATGCCTCACCATCCAGTTAATAAAGGGAAGACTAAAGAAGGTTAAGGTCAACAAGAGAACCAGAAGTGATGTAAAGGGGGCTGGCCCCAGTCCCCAATAGACCCTCTAGGGAAGAAACCACTAACACCTTACTTCACTGATGTGATCAGTCTGCAGCCCATCATTCTTGTGACTTTGAGCATTACTGTGCATTGTGGTAATGTGCCATAACATATTGTATGATGTGAACGAGCCCTCAATCCAACACCAATGGTGGAAAAAGATGGGCTCAAGTTTGACTCAAAGTGCACATCATATGCAGCTACTGAAGACAAAAGTTGAAATTTCCCTAAATAGGAATAGCATAGTTGACAGTAAAGTATGCAAGCACATCATGTAACAATACACTTTGGCATTTTGCAAACAGTTCAACTTTCCTCTAGAATAGTTGTGTCCTGTCCATGGTTATGATGGAAACCAGAGCAGTTTTTATTTGTGCAGTTGTTGATACTGGCAGAAGCAGTATTAGCGCTCCGGGGGTTACATTTCCCATACCATAGAGGTCCGTCTTTGGAGAGACCAGCTAGGTGTCTGGAGGGGAACTCAATGTAAGAATATTTTTCGATGGTATTTTATTCTAATTATTCTGGCAACTGAACAAAATAGAAGGTGGGAAAATGTCCAGCAGAGTGAGCAGACTATGTTTGACCTGCCAAGTGCTTGTGCTAGGAATTATTATGCATGTACCATGCAGCATTTAAAGCCGAACTATGGGAAATCTAAAAATTCTCCCTTGTAGTGGAGCGGTGCCCGACCTGCAAGGGTTGACTGCTCTTTTAGGTCTAGGTGAGAATAAAAGCATTTTAGTTTACCTGATCTGCCATTCCCCTGGCAGATGGTGCTCCCTGTTGGTGGACTGTCCTAATGTCCAGTGTAGGGCAAGGGACCCTTGAACGGTCTTGATGATGTCAGGACTTTAGACTGCTGGAGCATGGGGGGGAAGATGCCGTGGGGACAGGTCTGACCAGGGGCAGACTGACAAGTCATGGGGCCCCCGGGCAGTAGGGGATCATGGGGCCCCTGTGTCCTTGCCCAAACTCAAAAAAGCCTATGAAAAAGGTACCAGGGGCATCTCATGGGGTCCCCTACTGACCCCGGGCCCTCGGGCAGTGCCTGAGTTTCCAAATGGTCAGTCCGCCCCTGGGTCTCACATTGTGCGGGAGCAGAGGATCAAGAAGGTAAATCTACTTTATCATGTTCCCTCGACCTAAATGAGCAGTGAACCCTTGCCATGCATGCCGACTGCAAGGGGGAATGTTCAAGTTTTTTCTTTTAACCCTTTAACTGGCACCAACATACTGGTGGCAACAGGGGCAGGGGCGGACTGACAAATCATGGGGCCCCCGGGCAATAGGGGATCATGGGGCCCCTGTGTCCTTGCCCAAACTCAAAAAAGCCTATGAAAAAGGTACTAGGGGCATCTCATGGGACCCCCTACTGACCCCGGGCCCTCTGGCAGTGCCCGAGTTTCCAAATGGTCAGTCCGCCCCTGAGCAGGGGGTTGTACACACATTCCAGCTGTTACACTCCACAAGCCTACTGTTGCTGTTGGCCTTCTGTGACCCCATGCAATCCCCCCCTTTGATTCTTGATTCTTGGTTTCCCGGGCACGAAAGGTGGAGGAGAGGTAGACTTATAAACAATAAAAATACTTTTATTCATTGAATAAATAGAGTCTATTTAGAACCACATTTTCCTCAACATGCTTTGGTCATCTTTCTGTTTCTAAATGCTTATCCATTACAGTGTGTGGCGGATGGACCTTGACAGTTTGGGCTGGTGGAGTTCTCCTTGTAGTTCACCTTGATACAGTTTCTGACTTAATCAATTTATATATCCATTTACTACTTTTAAGTTGATGCAGGGAATAACCGATTGCCTCTCGGGGGATCAGGAAGGAATTTTTTCCCCTGCAGGAGCAAATTGGATCATGCTTTGCTGGGTTTTTTTCTGTCTGCCTCTGGATCAACTGTGGGTATAGGATTATAACCTTTTTTTTTAATGGTTGAACTGCATGGAATTTTGTCTTTTTTTCAGCCAAACTAACTTTGTAACTATGCTTCATGGGCCACTGATTTAGCCATGTGGAAAGGCATCCAGAAAGGATGAGAGTGCCATGTGATCACATATTTATTATCTTTACTGTATGACCACCAAACAGGACCACCATTAGCAACTGTTAGGTGTTCCCCTATCCTTATGGCGCTGCACCTGTCCACCCCTTGATCCTGCCCTGAGTGAACTGCATATACCAAGTGTTTGGGTGTTGTGTGGATATAAATTCTGGGGTATATTCCTAAAACTCATTAGAACTGGCTTGGAGAAACCAGAAAACATCTTCAGCTTTGCAGAACAAGTCCAGTTGAATGTGCCCAATTACTTTTAGATACAATTGTACGTTATAGCTGTAGATAAATACCAAACGTCACCATTGAGTGAAGATAGCTGCAGGTTCCATATTCTGTTCACTTGTAATTGTTTATATGTGAACATCTCATATAAAAGGTCAACTATCTTGCTATATATACTTTGTATACTATATAAACTTATGTTTGGTCTACAGCTTTTACCTTGTGTGAATTTTGAAAAATGTTCTTTTGCATTCCAGCCGGTTCGGTACCAAATGTGCTCGGTGTGGTAGACAAATCTATGCCAGTGACTGGGTGCGAAGAGCTCGGGGGAACGCCTACCACTTAGCCTGCTTTGCGTGTTACTCCTGTAAAAGGCAACTGTCTACGGGGGAGGAGTTTGGCCTGGTGGAGGAAAAGGTCTTATGCAGAATCCACTATGACACCATGATAGAAAACCTAAAAAGAGCAGCAGAAAATGGTAAGTCTTTGGGAATTTAGCTTTGAGCTTTGACAATGTTCTTTTTTTTTATCTGATTGGGGTAGTTTATGGATTGTGTGGCAATTTAACCTCTTGCCCACCATGTAACACATATGTGCAGCAGTAAGGAGGGTGGGCTTTAACACCCACATACAGCACATGTGCATCCTTAGCAGCTGAGGTTTTTCGGCAGTGTCATTGCATGCTCTCAGCACAGTTTTGGAGCTGTTTACTGAGAACTCCCCATCTCTAGGGATGGGGATCTCTGGTTGGGAGTCTTTCAGGAAGTAGGCTCCCAATCACGTAAGTGTTATGACAGCGAATCAAGTATTGTTTCCCATAGGGGCTTGTCCTGCTTTCCTTTGGACCAAAACTCCTGCCAAACTGGAACCTGCTGGCCTTTTTTAAACCTAATGAGCTATGCAACTATGCATTGAATGAAGAAGGAAACATATTGAGTTTTATCTGGATTCCTATGTTCTATGTTTCTGCTGTAAGAATTGAATTAAGATACCACCTTTTGCATTGTGTTTTTATTATACTGTAAATTACATCTTTTATGTCCTATGTATACATACACATGTGAAAAGGATGAGAGTGTCAAAGATATAATGTGAGTCTAGTAAATTTTTATTGCACACGATGGGAGATCACAAGAACCAACGCGTTTCAAGGGCTCAATACTTACCCTTCATCAGGGCCTGGAAAGACTATTACCCCTGAGAACCAAAATTAGCTATTGTTTCCCATAGGGGTTTGTCCTGGTTTCCATTGGACCAAAACTGCTGTGGTGGCTCTGCTAAGGTGGAACCTGATGACCTTTTTTATCCTAATAAATTATGTAATTATGCAATGAGTGACATAGGAAACATATTGTTTCTAATTAACAAAGGGGCTCTTTTCCCAGAGCGGGATCTGCTCCCTTCCCTTAGTTTAGAAGAGTGGCCCAAGCATTGTGCTTGGGCCGCTCTTTTTTTTTTCATTTCCTCCATTGGGTTTTATACACTATCGATTTTCCGTCTTCCTGTGTCCTATGTTTCTGCTTTACAAATGGAACTGAGATACCCCCTTTGTGATCTGTTTCTCTCTAAACTCCCTTCTTTTGTGCCCTATGTATACAATATCTAAAGAAACGTAGAAAGGATGAGAGTGCCATAGATATAATGTGAGTGCGGTAAATCTTTATTGCACATGATAGGAGATCGGAAGAACCAATGTGTTTTTTGGGTCAGTACTTCCACGTCATCAGGGCTGGAAAAGATTTTTTTTCCTGGTTTCCTTTGGGCTACAGTGGAACTGCTAAGGTGGAACCCGATGGCCCTTTTGTAACCTAATATAAATGATATAGCTATGCAATGAGTGACAAAGGAAACATATTGCTCCCAATTAACGTAGAGGCTTTCACCCATTTTGTTAATTAGGAGCAGGATCTGCACCTTTTCCTTAGTTTATACAGTAAGAGCAGTCCAAGCACTAAGCTTGTGCCACTCTTTGTTAATTTTCCCCACCACTGGGTTTTATTTGCTTTCAGTTTTCTGGTTTCCTATGTTCAATGTTTCTGATGTAAGAACGGAATTGAGATACCACCTTTGTGTTGTGTTTTCCCTTTAAAGTTCCTTTTTTTGTGCCTAAGGAAATTAATTTAAAGTGATACTAAACCCCGGACCCTACATTCACTATATCTGGTCTCCCCGGACCCAGCATTCACTATATCTGGTCTCCCCGGACCCAGCATTCACTATATCTGGTCTCCCGGACTCTGCATTCACTATATCTGGTCTCCCCGGACCCTGCATTCACTATATCTGGTCTCCCCGGACCATGAATTCACTATATCCGCTCTCCCCAGACCCCACATTCACTATATCTGGTCTCCTTGGACCCTGCATTCACTATATCTGCTCTCCCCGGACTCTGCATTCCCTATATCCGGTCTCCTGGACCCTGCATTCACTATATTCGGTCTTCCCGAACCCTGCATTCACTATATCTGGTTTCCTCGGTCCCTGCATTCACTATATCTGGTCTCCTCTGACCCTGCATTCGCTATATCCACTCTCCCCGGACCCTGCAATCACTATACCTGGTCGCCCCGGACCCTGCATTCACTATATCCACTCTCCCCGGACCCTGCATTCACTATATCCGGTCTCCCCGGACTCTGCATCCCTATATCCGGTCTCCCCGGACCCTGCATTCACTATATCTGGTCTCCTCGGACCCTGCATTCACTATATCTGCTCTCCCCGGTCTGCATCCCTATATATATGGAAATGCAATTATTTTAGTAAATATAAACTGCTAAATACCTTTTCTCATCAGCAGTTAGAGCAGTCTTGTGACTTCAGCAGAGCACTGGTTAAAGCTTGTAGGAGGAGTTTTCTTTCTGCTCTAGGAGGATGCAGAACCCCTGACCCTCTGTCTGGACAGTGCTGATTGGCCCAGTGCTGATCACATGCACTCTCCCACTCTCCCATTCTGGAGCCACGCAGTGTCCCTTTTGTCACTGAAGAAGGGGCCTGCGTGGATCCGAAACTTTGCCCTGTGTTTATCATGTGACCACAAAATAAAGCTTTGGACCCATTTTGAGGAATCCTTGGTGTTCTGGTGACATTTCTCTCACTTACAACTGCAAAGGTTGAACCCGTTGGCCTTTTTGTAAACCTGATTTTGTAACCATGCAAGGAAACAAATTGGCTTTTTATCTACCATCAATTTTCTGTATTCCTACGTTCTATATTTCTGCTGTTGGAACTGAATTAAGATACCACCTTTGCATTGTGTTTTTATTATAAACTTCCTTCTTTTGTGCCTTGTGCAGAAATTGTGGGATTCGGCAATTAGTCATGCAACCAGCTGGCAGGATATTTCCAGTCATCAGTAACTCTTTCCTGACACTCATCAAAGAAAAGTCAACACTGAATGAATGGTCCTCAGATGTCATAAGAGGAAAATTGGGTTGTCAGAGTAGTCCGAACAGTGTTTTTATTTTGTGTGCGTTTGCCTTTTTTTTCTTTTTTTTATTAAAGGGACAGTGCACTCCAAATGGATATAGTATCTTAGGTATGAATGGTCGCTCTTGGTTGTATCGTTTGTTGGCTTCCTTTCTTCTTAGGAAGACTTTGCAGCAAGTTTTTCTCACCAGAGTCTTTAGATGTTTACGTCTCTCCATGAAGTCCAATAGATTTTTGGTTTCAGAAGAAAAAGTCTCAGTTTTTCCAAGAAGAGATCTTTTCATAATGGTAGTGAATTGAGAGCAGCCCTCTTGAAGCCCCATTACACCCCCCTCCCCCATATACAGACTTGACGCCCTCCAGCATGTTTTTTTTAACTGTTCTTTAAAAAAAAAACCTTTTATCAGATGTTTACGTCTCTCCATAAAGCCCCATAGATTTTTGGTTTCAGAAGAAAAAGTCTCAGTTTTTCCAAGAAGAGATCTTTTCATAATGGTAGTGAATTGAGAGCAGCCCTCTTGAAGCCCCATTACACCCACCCCTCCCCCATATACAGACTTGACGCCCTCCAGCATGTTTTTTTTTAACTTACCTTTAAAAATAACCCTTTTATCAGATGTTTACGTCTTTCCATGAAGCCCCATAGATTTTTGGTTTCAGAAGAAAAAGTCTCAGTTTTTCCAAGAAGAGATCTTTTCATAATGGTAGTGAATTGAGAGCAGCCCTCTTGAAGCCCCATTACACCCACCCCTCCCCCATATACAGACTTGACGCCCTCCAGCATGTTTTTTTTTTAACTTACCTTTAAAAAATAACCCTTTTATCAGATGTTTACGTCTTTCCATGAAGCCCCATAGATTTTTGGTTTCAGAAGAAAAAGTCTCAGTTTTTCCAAGAAGAGATCTTTTCATAATGGTAGTGAATTGAGAGCAGCCCTCTTGAAGCCCCATTACACCCACCCCTCCCCCATATACGGACTTGACGCCCTCCAGCATGTTTTTTTTTTTAAACTTACCTTTAAAAATAACCCTTTTATCAGATGTTTACGTCTTTCCATGAAGCCCCATAGATTTTTGGTTTCAGAAGAAAAAGTCTCAGTTTTTCCAAGAAGAGATCTTTTCATAATGGTAGTGAATTGAGAGCAGCCCTCTTGAAGCCCCATTACACTCCCCTCCCCCATATACAGACTTGACGCCCTCCAGCGTGTTTTTTTTTTAACTTACCTTTAAAAAAACCCTTTTATCAGATGTTTACGTCTCTCCATGAAGCCCCATAGATTTTTGGTTTCAGAAGAAAAAGTCTCAGTTTTTCCAAGAAGAGATCTTTTCATAATGGCGGTGAATTGTGAACAGCTCTCTTAAAAGCCCCATTACACCCACCCCTCCCCCATATACAGACTTGATGCCCTCCAGCATGTTTTTTTTCTGCTTACATTTAAAAAAAAAACTTTTATCAGATGTCTTCAGGCCAATTATGGGTCCTCTTCACCTCCACTATGGTACTGAACAATCCTTTATGATGCAGACTGTGGCATTGATGTGATGATGTCACCACTGCTTTCCATAGCATAATACTGTAAGTGTGGAGCACTGTGGTGGCAACCTTCTCTGGAGCAGTTCATGATGCCTTGCACTCAGGGGCGGACTGACCATTTGGAAACTCGGGCACTGCCCGAGGGGGCCCGGGGTCAGTAGGGGGCCCCATGAGATGCCCCTGGTACCTTTTTCATAGGCTTTTTTGAGTTTGGGCAAGGACACAGGGGCCCCATGATCCCCTATTGCCCGGGGGCCCCATGAGTTGTCAGCCTGCCCCTGCTTGCACTCATAAATCATGGTTCCCTATACAGCCCAACTGGCAGCCCATATGGAAGAAAAATATATTTTCAATATATTTAGAAAAAAAATTAGACATGCGACATATATTTACAATATATTGGCCTACACGAATACATTTTAACATGTATTCCAAAAATGTAAATTAAAATATATTTTCCAAAGGTATATATTTAAAAATATATTTTTCAAAATATATTTTCCAGATATTTTTGAACATCTAAAAAAATGCATTTAAACAGATTTTTAAATATACTTGTAAATGCATTCCAAATTACACTTTGATATATATTGCAGCGTGTGTTCTGAATATTTTTTTAATAATATATTCACAAATACATTGAAATATATTTTTTTGAAATATATTGATTATGGACAAAATTGTAGTATTTGAAATATATGTCAATATATTTGGGAAGAATATATAAAGAATGTATTTTTAAAAATATATTTAAAATATATTTTTCTTCCATGTGGGAGGGCCCCTCACCTTGTGTCTCCACATACACTTTAGCCCTAAACTCCCCCTCCCCTCACTTCCCCCCATGCCTGGTATCTCTTCATACACTGTGGAGAGCTTCTGTCAGCAGAGAGGCTGGGAACAACTACAGCCCAGTGGCTCTTCTCTGGGGCTTGCACCTACACCCTGGCCCCCCACCCCTAAAAGAAATATGGTGACTTACCTACATCTTTACCTTACCAACATCCTTCAAACAGGGGCGGACTGACCATTTGGAAACTCGGGCACTGCCCGAGGGCCCGGGGTCAGTAGGGGGCCACATGAGATGCCCCTGGTACCTTTTTCATAGGCTTTTTTAAGTTTGGGCAAGGACACAGGGGCCCCATGATCCCCTATTGCCCGGGGGCCCCATGAGTTGTCAGTCCGCACCTGCCTTCAAATAATGAAGATTGTGCCTCCTTCTGCAGTTCCTGAAAAAAAATCAAGCCTCATAAAGGATAGTGACCCATATGGAAGAAAAATACATTTAATATATATTTTAAAAATATTCTTCCCAAATATATTAACATATATTTGAAATACTACCATCTTCGCCATATTCAATATATTTTAATATATATATATATACATATATACACTGCATGTTGAAATATTCCTCAGATTTTTTGAACATATAAAAAAAAGTAATTTTAACATACATTTTTACATATGTTTGTACATGCATTCCAAAAATGCAGCTCCCACTCACAGCTCATTAGCAGCAGCTCGGTTCCAATCCTAGCACAATCCCCACATGGAAGAAAAATATATTTGAAATATATTTTTTAAATATTCTTCCCAAATATATATTGACATATATTTGAAATACTGCAACTTTGGCCATATTAAATATATTTCAAAATATAGTTCAATAAATATATATATATATATATGTGTATATATATATATATATATATATATATATATATACATATACTGTATGTTGAAATGCATTTTTATTACAAAATATATGAAAAGTATTTTTAAAAATACATTTTCAAGTACACTGTATGTCTTTAAAAATACAAATCTACATTTTTGGAATGCACTTATATATATATGTAAAAATATATGTTAAAATAACTTTTTTAAATATTAAAAAAAATATGAAGAATATATTTAAAAAAAAGTGTAAAAAAAATATTTTTCAGATATTTTGTAATATATAAAAAACGCATTTCAACATGCAGTATATATATATATATATATATATATATATATATATATATATATATATATTTTATTTATTTATTGAATTGATATATTTTGAAATATATTGAATATGGCCAAAATTGTAGTATTTCAAATATATGTCAATATATTTGGGAAGAATATTTTTAAAATATATTTCAAATATATTTTTCTTCCATGTGGGGAGCTCAGACTGGGAGAGGGGGAATCACCACAATGAGCTAAACGGATGTGTTGCTATGCAAGGCGCATGCCCCCTGCCCCTGTCCCTCTGCATTCTTCAGTTTGTGCTTGCCTTGGGCAAGTGCTGGGAAATGAAGACAAACACTCACTATTAACCTCCTTAGCGGTAATCCCGAGTGTAGCCGGGGTAAAATTTCAGTACGAAGAGCGATAACCCCGAGCTACACTCGGGCTTACCATGCGGCGTTCTCCGGGGGTCCCTGCAGCACTTACCTTGTCCTTCGCTCCCACGATGTGTTCCCCCCTGCAGCGTCCCCGGCCATCTCCTCCGGCCGATGCCGGCATCCGGCTTTCGTGTTCCGGTCCCTGTTTGTACGGCGGGGAAATTTTTAAAAAATTTCATTTTTGCTGTCATTGCTGCTTCAATGCATTTCATATATATTTTGTCCCTAGTACTTTGTCCAGCGCCCTGCCTGCATTTTGACTGTTCTTTCTGCCTGGAAACTTAGAAAAGTCCATGGCGTCCAAAAAGCGTCCCTTTACGTCAAAAGCGGTTTTAGAACAGCGATAGTAAATCAGAACCACTTGCAGAATTGAGTGATAATGATTTGTGGGGAAATTCGTCATCAGACACTGAAAACGATTTTGCGACTTTGCTCAGCGATGTGCGAATTTTCCTCTGTATTTCAAATTTCAGTGTTTTTGGTTTGATTATATTATTGAATTAAATTTAATATTATTATATTATTATTTTTATGATTATTTATTAAATTATAATTTATGATTTCGTGTTTCAAGTTTTATCATACCCGGGATGTTTACTAGACTCTTGTTCGGACAGATTTCAGTGAGTTATTCCTAAAAATTACAGCCTACAATAAAAAACTACATATTTCTATGCAAAAAAATGGTACCGCTTTCAGCTCAAAAAAATGGAAAGAATCATACCGCCGAGGAGGTTAAAGCAGTCACCTTGTTGCTAGCTGCGGTATTGAGAGGCCAAGGGAGGCTGCTCCTAAAATCAAAGCAGGGTAGGAAGATTGGACAAAGTACTACATGGCCTTTGTCCCATCAGGTCCCATCAGGAACTCAATAATGTTTAAAAAATTGATAAGACTGCTTTATATGAACAATATTTAGCATTTCTATTAGGAATCATTCACATGTGCGTTTTGGGCCAACAATGATTTCCTGCTGGAGAATTAGCAAAGTTTCCTTCAATCAGTTTCAAAGCAATGAGTGGCTGACAACACCGGTGGCCATTCATATGTAATTGGACACATGAACGGACAAGAATGAAGTTTTCCCATATGGAAGAGAAATATATTTTCAATATATTTAGAAAAATAAAAATTATACATGCGACATATATTTACAATATATTGGCCTAGACCAGGGGGTCTGCAACCTTTAAGACATAAAGAGCACTTGGACCCGTTTCAAAAAAAAAGACTGGGAGCCGCAAAACCATTGCAAAATTTAAAACAAATCCGTGCATATATTGCAAAAAACGCTCTGGTCATGAAGGGGGTTTAAGGGCCCAGTAAGCAAAGGGTTTAATCAGGGCCACAGTGTATCGTCATTTCACAATCATAGCCTTAGGTCAGTAGAACCTTTTTTTGAACTGAGCCAAATCTCGCCAAAAAATGCCACGATTGAAATTTATTTTGAGAGAAACATTTTTTAAAACTGAAAATACATCCCCCATATAGTAATACATTTGATATATAATTCATCCCCCCTATAGTAATTCATCCCCCCTATAGTAATTCATCCCCCCTATATAATTCATCCCCCCTATAGTAATTCATCCCCCCTATAGTAATTCATCCCCCATATAGTAATTCATTCCCCATATTGTGTGAATTCACTTACCTTTGCTCCGCGCGTTCCTCTCGCTGGGTTCCGCGCCGTTCTGGTAGGGCGGACTGTGAGAAGAGGATTCGTCAATGCCCCGCCTACATCCGGGCTGCCCCGCCTACATCCTACAGCCAATGTTTTTTTAAAACAGAAGAGCTGCATTAAAATAGCCGCGGCTACCCTATTGCCTGTCACCTGGTGGGCAGTGTGCTCCGGAGCCGCAGGAAAGGTGAAAAAGAGCCGCATGCGGCTCCGGAAAATCATTGCCGACACCCGGCCCCGAATATATTTTAACATGTATTCAAAAATGTAAATTAAAGTATATTTTCCAAAGACATATATTTAAAAATCTATTTTTCAAAATATATTTTCTAGATATTTTTGAACATCTAAAAAAAATGCATTTAAACATAGATTTTTAAATATCACTTGTAAATGCATTCCAAATTACACTTTGATATATATTGCAGCATGTGTTCTGATATATGTTTAATAATATATTCACAAATATATTGAAATATATATTTTAGGCAATATTGAATACGGCCAAAATTGTAGTATTTGAAATATATGTCAATATATTTGGGAAGAATATATTAAGAATGTATTTTTAAAATATATTTAAAATATATTTTTCATCCATAAGCGTTCAGACTCTGGTTGCTATGAATGGGGCTTTCAGGAAATCATAGTCAGCCCCAAACGCACACGTGAATTATGCAAAAAATACTTGCACTGTAAAGAACTTGCAAGTATAAAGAAAAAAAAAAGACAAGTGTATATATCTGTACTGAGCAAGCAGAGGATGCATTGATGATGATTGTTACAAGATGAGTGAAAAGTCTCTGCATTTTCAGGCAATGGTATTACGTTGGAGGGAGCTGTGCCATCAGAACAAGACAGCCAGCCAAAACCAGCAAAAAGAGCGCGCACTTCATTCACAGCGGAACAGCTGCAGGTATGAGGACTTCGGGTGTTGGTGGAGCTCATACATGGTACAAAGAGCTATAACCAGACTTCTGGTGTTGGTGGAGCTCATACATGGTACAAAGAGCTATAACCAGACTTCTGGTGTTGGTGGAGCTCATACATGGTACTAAGAGCTATAACCAAACTTCTGGTCTTGGTGGAGCTCTTACATGGTACTAAGAGCTATAACCAAACTTCTGGTGTTGGTGGAGCTCATATGTGGTACAAAGAGCTATAACCAGGAGCTCTATGGTGGTACAAAGAGCTATAACCAGACTTCTGGTGTTGGTGGAGCTCATACATGATACAAAGAGCTATAACCAAACTTCTGGTCTTGGTGGAGCTCTTACATGGTACTAAGAGCTATAACCAAACTTCTGGTCTTGGTGGAGCTCATACATGGTACAAAGAGCTATGACCAGACTTCTGGTGTTGGTGGAGCTCATACATGGTACAAAGAGCTATGACCAGGCTTCTGGTCTTGGTGGAGCTCATACATGGCACAAAGAGCTATAACCAGACTTCTGGTGTTGGTGGAGCTCATACATGGTACAAAGAGCTATAACCAGACTTCTGGTGTTGGTGGAGCTCATACATGGTACAAAGAGCTATAACCAGACTTCTGGTGTTGGCAGAACTCATACATAGCAAAAAGAGCTATAACCAAACTTCTGGTCTTGGCGGAGCTCATACATGGCACAAAGAGCTATGACCAAACTTCTGGTCTTGGTGGAGCTCATACATGGCACAAAGAGCTATGACCAGACTTCTGGTCTTGGTGGAGCTCATACATGGTACAAAAATCTATGACCAGACTTCTGGTGTTGGTGAAGCTCATACATAGAGCTATAACCATCTATCTCACTTATCTTCTCTCTGTTCTCAGGTGATGCAAGCACAGTTTGCTCAGGATAATAATCCCGATGCACAAACGCTTCAGAAACTTGCAGACATGACAGGACTAAGCAGAAGAGTTATTCAGGTCAGTATTCTAAGAAAATGTTAATGTTCTCAGTATTGGATCATTATTATGGATCAACTCTTCATTTGGTCATAATAATAAAGATACCTTGGTAGAGCTGGTTTTAAGTAATTACTCCTCTTACTGAATAAAAAATCGGTATACCCACAAAATTACTATCTAAATTATATAAAATTAAATAAACACCCTAGACGCACAAAAAAGTCACACTTTCTCTCCCAAAAGTCCAAAGTCAAAAAAACCTCCTCAATGTCTGTGAATCTTCAAAATATCATATTTCCACTTGATCCATCTCCAAAAGTAACTCTTTAGTATCCACGTGTACCTCAAAAGAACAAAAAGTACATATAGTGCATTATCCTCAAGAAGAAAATTTAAAGCAAAAAACAACTATCGATGTGTATTTGTGTTCAAAATTTGTAAAATCCACCCAAAGTCTACTTCAATGTGGCTGAATTGAATACTCTTACTCTAAAAATACTTGTATATGGCTTTACATCTCATTCCTCATAAGAATCCACTCAAGGCTGATCCTACGGATGTATCATTATCCTCATAAGGAATACCTCCGAAGAAAAATCATAGTGTAGTATCCTTTGAACATTTGATAAGTGCTCCCCTCTTCAACACCACTAGCGAAACGAAAAAGCACTCTTCACCACCTTCCAAACCATGCATCTTACCAGAAATTTGAATTACTCCTCTTATGCCTACTCTCCACTATCCAGCCCCATTGCCTCCTTTCTCCTCTTTCACAATCTGGACCTAGTGTCTCCTTTCTTCCCTCTTCTCCTCAGTCCACTCTTGTTGTTTCATTCTTTATCTCCTCCACGTTCCAGCCTTGGTGTCCCCTTCTCTCATTCTGATCTTATTGACTCTTGCTTATCTATCCACTGTCTGATTTAAGTCCTTTAAGGCAAGACTACTAACCTTTCACCATGTCCACCAATCATTGTGGGGTCATTCCACACTTTGTGAGAGACACTTTATTTAGTTGCTTCTTACTCTTTTGGCTAAGATGAGGTAAAATATCTGTTCTTATGGGTTTTTGGGATCAGGGCACCAGTTCCCTTTCCCAATTAGAGGAGCCATCAGGAATTCCAAATTTAATAAGGGGGGAGGGTTCTTTTCCTCCCAGGTTGATTCTAACCTGCTTTGCCAGACTTGCCCCTAGCTGAAGGCAGGGTTCTCCCCAAGTGCTTAAGCCTTCCTAGTAGGGACAGGTCTGCATTTGCCTGGCCGGGGTGGGGGCCAGGCTCAGAAAAGACTGCAGTGCTTGTGCCCAGGGGCGAACTAACCATTCAGGTACTCAGGCACTGCCCGAGGGCCCGGGTCAGTAGGCAGCCCCATGAGATGTCCCTGGTACCTTTCATAGGCTTTTTTGGGTGAGGTTTGAGTGTGGGAGAGGACACAGGGGCCCCATGATTTCCTATTGCCCGGGGGCCCCATGAGTTGTCAGTCCACCCCTGTTTGTGCCCCTGGAGTGACAGTCCAGGGGTGAAAGAAAAATTCACTTTGGGGCAACTCACTGCATTTTTAGTATGGCTCCTTGGTCACAGCACCCCTTTATGTTTTTTTGCAACTGCCTACTGAGCTAGGTCTTTCGGCCAGGACCAGGGGAGCCCTAATACCGGCCGAAGGCCAGCCGTTGTCTTCCAAATTGGCACCCCCAAGCACTTTTGCACACAACGTATGCACTTTACTCACTCCTGATTAGTAGGGTGTAGGTCCTTGGACTTGCCTTAAAGTCTTGGGGGGGGGGAGGTCATGAGAACATATGGCTAGGGTTTCCCTTCAGAGGAGCCCCCACCTACTACTTTTCCATTCCATCACAAATCCCATGGGGCAGCACGGTGGCTAAATGGTTAGCACTTCTGCCTGGCAGCAGTAGGGTTGTTGGTTTGAATCCCAACCACAGCAGCACCTGTGTGGGTTTCCTCCCACTCCAAAGACATGCTGGTAGGCTAATTGGCTCCTGTCTAAATTGTCCCTACAACATTAGTGCAACTGAATTACAACGTATGTTGTTTCGTTTTTAGTCGAAATGCGTTCCATTCATTATTTTATTGCTTCATACAATGCACCATCAGTAACCTTTTCCTGACATTTGCGATCTCCAGGTTTGGTTTCAGAACTGCAGAGCGCGACATAAAAAGCACACCCCACAGCATTCAGTACCTCCACCGGGGCCGAACCCGACTCGTCTCACCTCTTCCCTGTCTGATGACATTCACTTCTCCCCCTTCAGCAGTCCAGAAAGAGCGAGAATGGTCACATTACACGGATACATAGAAAGTAAGTTCCACTTTTATCCTACCATAAAATGTTGCAAAGGGGACTTTAAAACACCAAGTCAAAATTTCAGGCAAACAGCAAGTTACATACCCTTCAGTGCCAACTGATTACTATTTACAGAGCTGCCAACCCACATGGAAGAAAAATATACTTGAAATATATTTAAAAAATATTCTTCCCAAATATATTGCTATATATTTGAAATGATACAATTTTGGCCATATTCAATATATTTCAATATATATATATATATATATATATATATATACACACTGCATGTTGAAATGCGTTTTTATTACAAAATATATGAAAAATATTTTAAAAAATACATTTCAAATACCCTGTATGTCTTTAAAAATATAAATCTACATTTTTGGAATGCATTTACAAATATATGTAAGCATGCATGGTAAAAATGACTTTTTTATATGTAAAAAAAAATCTGAAGATTATATTTAAAAAATATATATTTAAAAAAATTTTTTTAACATATAAAAAAGTAATTTTAACATATATTTTTACAAACATTTGTGGATTTGTATTTTTAAAGACATACAGTATATTTGAAATGTATTTTTAAAAAATGTTTTCATATATTTTGTAACAAAAACGCATTTCAACATGCAGTAGATATATATTTATATATATATACTGTATATATAGATATAGATATTTATTGAAATATATTTTGAAATATATTGAATACGGCCAAAATTGTAGTATTTCAAATACATGGCGATATATTTGGGAAGAATATTTTTAAAATATATTTTTAATATGTTTTTCTTCCATATGGGAAGGTACCCCAACTCTACCAGCACCTGCGGTGGTGGCTCCCAGGCTCTCCCATTTTTCTGGGGATCCCAGGACCAAGGTAAACTATTGTAAAATGTAAAGCAGGAGCTGCTCAGGGAATATTTATTCCTCGACCCCTCTACGACTAAGGAGCCCAGAAGTGATATGTATTATGCTGCTTCTAGGTTCAGAGGTGTTATTCCCAGGTTACTGTAGCTGGGGAAGCAGTTAATCAAGTATGATCTGAGGTTGACTAGCTGCAGTGGAGATCTGAGGACACATTGGGGGTCTAAGGACCCTTGATGGCCCTACAAAGAAGACCTGTCACCAGTGCCGGGACAAAGTCATCCCATGGCAAAGATGCTTAAGGGGTTCTACGCCCAGCAGTCACTTGCAATTACTGCCACTGTTACTAACAGAAGGAAGACACCCCCATCCCTACAGCAAACTCCTTTGCCCACCTCTGGTCCCGGCCCTGCCTGTCAGCTACCCATGCTATCACATAGGAGAGTTGTTAGCCCCCTTGTGATAACAAGAAAGGTAAATGTGAGGCAAAGAAGTGTAAAAAAAAAATTACAATTTTTAAAAGCCCCCCACCTCACCAATTCACAAAAAGAACATTGGGAAACTGGAGAAAGTACAGAGAAGGGCAACAAAACTGATGAGAGGCATGGATGAGATCAGCTAGAGGAATGATTAGAGGAACTGAATTTATTCTCTGTTGAGAAGAGGAGATTAAGGGGGGATATGATCTCCATGTATAATACATAAGGGGGGATATGATCTCCATGTATAATACATAAGGGGGATATGATCACCATGTATAATACATAAGGGGGGATATGATCTCCATGTATAATACATAAGGGGGGGATATGATCACCATGTATAATACATAAGGGGGATATGATCTCCATGTATAATACATAAGGGGGATATGATCTCCATGTATAATACATAAGGGGGATATGATCTCCATGGGGGGGATATGATCACCATGTATAATACATAAGGGGGGATATGATCTCCATGTATAATACATAAGGGGGGATATGATCTCCATGTATAATACATAAGGGGGGATATGATCACCATGTATAATACATAAGGGGGGGGATATGATCTCCATGTATAATACATAAGGGGGGGATATGATCTCCATGTATAATACATAAGGGGGGATATGATCACCATGTATAATACATAAGGGGGATATGATCTCCATGTATAATACATAAGGGGGGATATGACCTCCATGTATAATACATAAGGGGGGATATGATCTCCATGTATAATACATAAGGGGGGATATGATCTCCATGTATAATCCATGTATAATACATAAGGGGGGATATGATCTCCATGTATAATACATAAGGGGGGATATGATCTCCATGTATAATACATAAGGGGGGATATGATCTCCATGTATAATACATAAGGGGGATATGATCTCCATGTATAATACATAAGGGGGGATATGATCTCCATGTATAATACATAAGGGGGATATGATCTCCATGTATAATACATAAGGGGGATATGATCTCCATGTATAATACATAAGGGGGGATATGATCTCCATGTATAATACATAAGGGGGGATATGATCTCCATGTATAATACATAAGGGGGGATATGATCTCCATGTATAATACATAAGGGGGGATATGATCTCCATGTATAATACATAAGGGGGGATATGATCTCCATGTATAATACATAAGGGGGGATATGATCTCCATGTATAATACATAAGGGGGGATATGATCTCCATGTATAATACATAAGGGGGGATATGATCTCCATGTATAATACATAAGGGGGGATATGATCTCCATGTATAATACATAAGGGGGGGATATGATCTCCATGTATAATACATAAGGGGGAGATATGATCACCATGTATAATACATAAGGGGGGATATGATCTCCATGTATAATACATAAGGGGGGATATGATCTCCATATATAATACATAAGGGGGGATATGATCTCCATGTATAATACATAAGGGGGGATATGATCTCCCATGTATAATACATAAGGGGGGATATGATCTCCATGTATAATACATAAGGGGGGATATGATCTCCATGTATAATACATAAGGGGGGATATGATCTCCCATGTATAATACATAAGGGGGGATATGATCTCCATGTATAATACATAAGGGGGGATATGATCTCCATGTATAATACATAAGGGGGGATATGATCTCCATGTATAATACATAAGGGGGGATATGATCTCCATGTATAATACATAAGGGGGGATATGATCTCCATGTATAATACATAAGGGGGGATATGATCTTCATGTATAATACATAAGGGGGGATATGATCTCCATGTATAATATATAAGGGGGGATATGATCTCCATGTATAATACATAAGGGGGGATATGATCTCCATGTATAATACATAAGGGGGGATATGATCTCCATGTATAATACATAAGGGGGGGATATGATCACCATGTATAATACATAAGGGGGGATATGATCTCCATGTATAATACATAAGGGGGGATATGATCTCCATGTATAATACATAAGGGGGGATATGATCTCCATGTATAATACATAAGGGGGGATATGATCTCCATGTATAATACATAAGGGGGATATGATCTCCATGTATAAATACATCAGTGGTCCGTATAGTGAACTCGGTGTAGTTATTCACCCTGGGGTCATCACAGAGGACAAGGGGGCACTCTTTACATCTGGAGAAAAAGAAAAGGTTTCTTCACAGTGAGAGCTGTGAAAATGTGGAATAGACTCCCTCATGAGTTGGTTCTGGCCAGCTCAGTGGATTGCTGTAGGAAAGTCCTGGATTATTTCCTAGATACACAGAATATAACTGGATACTAACATTTATAGGTAAAGTTGATCCAGGGAATATCCAATTGCCTCTCGGGGGATCAGGAAGGAATTTTTTTTCCCTGCAGGAGCAAATTGGATCATGTTTTGCTGTTTTTTTTGCCTTCCTCTGGATCAACTGTGGGTGTAGGATTATTGCTTGGGCAGACAGTTGGCTTTCTTTTACTTTTAAAATGAAACCTGATCAGTCGCTATTGGTAAAAAATATATTTGTTAAAAAAAAAGATAAATAAATAAATATTAAAAAAATAAAATAAAAAATACCTAGATCTGATCTAGTTCACTGCCAGGGTAAGTGTTTGGGTCAAGGTCAGGGTCAAATGTCAAAGTCAAAAGGTCAGGATTTAAAAAAAAATTGGTATCAGTTTCAGTTAGTGTCAGTGTGTTTTAGGTACAAAAAAGGACAAAAACAAAATATGCACTATTGTTTTCTGGGCTATACTACAGGTACAAAAAACAAATAACACACATATATGGTATTGCTGCGATCGTCAAGAGCTGGAGAATTGATTTTGGGTTGTTCTTTGGTGGTAGGTTATGGTAGTAACAAGAAACACACAGCTAAATAAAAAAAAATATTTTTTTTTTTTACTATTTTGGGCCAGTTTTCCTTTGATAATAAAAAAAAATCAGGAAAATCCATTACCATTAACCACCAAATGAAAGCTCAATTTATCCTGAAAAAAACGCGGTATAATTCACCCGGATGTACAAAGTAGTGATGATATGTACGATTTTTCTAACACATGTCAAAGTTGCAAAATTGTGCTTAGGCATTTAGATTTGTTTTACCCTTAGGCGTGAAGGGGTTAAGGGTGATGATCATAGGAAGCTATTTATGATCACATAGTTGTTTGGCTCCTTATTAAATCATAATGATAACAGAAATCACCCAAATGGCCCGGATCAGAAGTTTCCCCCCCCCCTGGAATTTCCGGCCTTGGCACAGACACACAAGGTGACACACACACGGTTTAAAATGGCAATTAAAGGTTAGTGTCCCCCATCTGAGACTTTTTAAATTGCAATTAGTGTCTGTGTATAAATATTCAGTGAGTTGGTTAGCTCTCATGTGGATGCATTGAGCAGGCTAGATACTGAGCCATGGGGAGCAGAAAAGAACCATCAAAAGACCTGCGTAACAAGGTAATGGAACTGTATGTATGGGACAATTATTTGCTTCTTGGGGTCAGTGGCATGCTTTGAATCGTTACATTGTTACCTTACACTATTATGTACAGGGACAACCTGTTTTGTTCTATGTGCTGAGATTGTTCCATGTTGTTGTACAGGTCAGGTACAGTGTGGGCAGGTGCACTGCAGACTTCCCTATGCTGCTCCCCCAGTGCATCTAAAAAGTGACATGGAAGCAACACTGTCAAACAGAGGAGAGAAGGTAGGTAGTATGTACTGCCTTATTT